CTCTCTCTCTCACACACACACACACACACACACACACACACATACACACACACACACACACACACACATTTGAAGAGGTTAAGCTGAGGGCCTTCTCAAAACTGTGCTTCTCGAAGACTGTTTAGGTCAATTTCTGTATTCCAAGAGTTGTCTGTTCGAGGGGTTGTTTCACAGCTCTGTCTCCGTGATGTGGTCTGTCAGCTGATCCACAATAGATGCTGTGCTGGGCGGGGCTTCATTCAGCCAGCATGTGCGGATCAACTCCAGGATCTGTGGATAGGAAACAGAGTTATGAGTTAAATGCTTGTGCGTATTTTGTGAGAACTGTGAACACTACAAGGAAAATACTGTAAGGAATTGTAACATTCGTATTTGTGCATACACTTTGTCTTCTCGACCATTGTTGTGAAATAAGAGATTTTACTCCGTTACCTGGCTACAAATACAATGTACTCGTCCTGTTTACTATACGAAAAAGGAAGAGAAACAAAGCAAAACAAAAACACCACTAAACACACACACTATTACTGAGGTGTCAGACTGTTTTCCACACGAAACATGTGCAAAAACACATGTACTCTGTGACATGTAACTGTTAAACTGGACACAATACATAATACGGTCAAAATGTCGTGAACAAAACTGAATGTAGGTCGCACTTCTATACCAACTATTCGTTTCTTGTGTCCGTCTCTCAATCGTCATTATCATGAAGGTGACTTCCCTTTTTTTTAAAAAAAGGAATGAAGTTACGTTACGCAATTTCGAAAATGGACACTATTAAGCACAGTTTGGCTATTCCACATTTTGCCAAAGTTCTAATTTTGTTATCAGAATCACCACTGAGTCATGTCTTTTCAACTGACAAAATGTCGATTTTTCTGTGCTACTGTTATCATTCAGATTAGTATACTTGGTACCACATTTTAACTATTAATGTATTGCTGTACATAAAATGCAGGGTAAATTTTCTAAAGCTGATGAGTGCTTAAATTCACCTGACCTGATTTCCAATAATGCCAATGCTGCCTGTGTGCTGGAGCCTCGTTTTGAGCTGGTCAAAAGAATGAGCCGAGGCTGGAATGAGCTCTCCCATGTTGATGAGATGGACACGAGAGCTGATGCTGTGGCAATACCGGATGTGACGTCCATCCATCCCAGACAACAGGCCAACCATATCCGGAGGTACCGCCGCCTCAGAGGAGATACCCCCACTGGGCAGCATCGCAACTTCTCGGATGGCGGCCTCGTCTAGCTCAAGACACCCCGGTTCCACACCTGAGTGGGACAAGTTGAGGTCGTGCGGGGCGTTGTGGGAAAAGATGCGGTCTATGATAAGTTCTGGGTTGCCGAACTGGCCGTCGTCTGTGGCCGAGCCGTGTCGGGAAAGGACAGCTTGGAGAGCCTTTACGGACAGTTCGGACTCCGGCCTGTTGAGGAAAGCTTTTGTCTCCTCCGAGTAGTTGCCTGTGTGAGACGTATACAAGCGTGAGGGTTAATTAACGTATGACATGAGCTGTCTGGGCGTGTGTTTTCTTTCTTTAAGAAATAATAATGTTGATGATGATGATGATGATGATGATGATGATGATGATGATGATGATGATGATG